CCTTCCTGGGCCTCAGCAAGGGGAGTCCCGGCACAGGTGAGCTGATTGTTGCGGGGGAAGAAAGAAATACCTTAGGCGAACGTCAGGCAGGCGGGTAGGGTGAGCAAGCATCGGGTGGGAGGGCAACTGGGTTGTGGGTGTGGCCAGCCAGAACCTACTACCGGTTCGGCGACCCACGCCCAATTCTTGCTACTGGTTCGCCTGATCTGGTGAGAACTGGCTGAATACCACCACTGCTCCACGCCCATTTGCACTATTCAGGTGACCCTGAGGGCACAGACAAACCTCCAAGTGGCTCAGTGACTCTCAGGAAGAGTGCCAACGGCCAGAGGATTGCAAGGCATATAAATCCTTCCCTTTCCCACCATTCAGTCTAAACTGAAGAAACTTCTTGGATGAGAAGAGAAACATTTTCAAGGAAAAAACACCCCGAAGAAAGTATTTTGGAATAAGCACCTTTGGGACAAGCATGACCTGGCTGACTGAGAATCTCTATCTATAGAGACTTAGCTAGCTGTTTTCCAATGTAAGTGGGCTTCCCATGTTGGAAGGGACCTTGTAGGTCATCTAGTCCAACTCCATGCCCAAGCAGGAGACCCTACACATTTCTGATAGATGGCAGTCCAGTCTCTTCTTGAAAGCCTTCAGTGATGGAGCTCCCACAACTTCTGAAGGCAACTTCTGTTCTATGAGTTGATCGTTCTCACTGTCAAGGAAATTTCTTCCTATTTCCAGGTTGAATCTCTCCTTGTTCAGTTTCCACCCATTATTCCTTGTCTGGCCTTCAGGTGCCTTGGAAAATAGCTTGACCCCTTCCTCCTCTCTGGGGCAGCCCCTCAAATATTGGAAGACTGCTCTCCTGTCTCCCCTGGTCCTTCTCTTCCCTAGACTAGCCAGGCCCAGTTCCTGCAACTGTTCATCATATGTTTATCTTGGTTGTCCTCATCTTACAAACACAATCAGAAACTTCATCATTAAGGAAGGTGGTAAGTGAGTTAAGTGAGCTAAGCCACAGTGCGATTTGGGTTCAATGGAGCAAGTTGTTGTAAACGGAGCCATTGTGCTTTCTGAGGAGTATAATTGCTAGACGACACAAATCTAGTTCACAGCTAGATGGCAGCAAAGACTTGAAATATTCCAAATATTTTTGCTTGCTGCCATCTAACCTTCTTTCAGGTTTCTGCAAGTAGAATATAGCAATAGCACTTAAGACATATACCGCTTTATAGTGCTTTCCAGCTCTCTCTAAGCAGTTTACAGAATCAGCCTTTTGCCCCAAACAATCGGGGTTCTCATTTTACCCACCATGGAAGGATGGAAGGCTGACTCAACCTTGAGCCTGGTGGGATTTGAACTGCAAAATTGCAGCCAGCCGGCAGTCAGCAGAAGTCACTTGCAGTATTGTAATTTTACATCTGGTTTGCCGAACCGGTAGTTGCAATGACTGGCCTGGCCCACTCCACCCCTCCCAGGAGTCCCCACATGGCCCGTTTTGGAAGCAGGTAAGTACAGAGGGTCGGGGAGGGTGAAAAACGGGCCTTCCGGAAGTTTGAGAAGGCCGGAAATGGGCCTGTTTCCAGCTTCCAGAGAGCCTCTGGAGCCCAGGGAGGGCCATTTTTGCCCTCCCGGAGGCTCGAGGAAAGCCTTTGGAACCCAGGGAGGGTGAAAACACTGCCCCCCCAGCTGTGGTGCAGGAGGCTGACTAGGCCACGCCCACCATGGCCACGCCCACCCAGCAACTGGAAAGAGAGAACCCCTTGTTAAATTTTTTGAAGCCCAACCCTGGTTATAAGGCACAACGCAACAAATTTTAGAGAGCCAATTTTGGTGTCCGTCAATAACCCGGAGATGGTGAGTTCCTGCCTTAGGCATTGTAGGAAGTTAGCACCCACCCCTCTCCTAGGAAAATGGAATATCCTAGGAAATATTAAAAAGGCAGAATATTTCCCCTAAAAAGAGAAGTAGAAACTCAGAAGCAGAAACTCACCTCAGAAGCAGAAGCTCAGCCCCCTCCCCCTTGTTAATGGGCGGGCCATTAAAGCCTGGGCCAGAGTATTCTACGTAACAAAGCCCGCTACCCATCTTAACACCTGGCCTGTGAAGATTGCATCAGCCAGCAGCCATATGATCCAGACAAAGCCTACAAAGTTAGCTAAGACCCCCGCCTTTGGGAGTCTGACAGTCAGTGGGATACATTTCTTGGAAAGGAACAGAAAACACTAAGGTGGGGCCCAACAGAAGGTATATGATTAAGGGTCTCTCTCCCCCCACTTGGAACTGAACCCAGAAGGATAATTCTTCCAACAGCACGAAGCCGGCTGGGTGGTCTTGTGCTAGTCCCTCTCTCAGCCCTAAAAGGAGCCAATGGCGACCACTTCTTGAAAGATCTTGCCAAGAAAACTGCAGGCTGTGCCCGAACAGTCTCCAAAGAACAACTGGACCTCACTGAAATGCAGAAGAACAGAGTTGGGAGGGACTTCAGAGGTCTTCCAGTCCACCCCCCTGCCCAAGCTATTAGAATCATAGAATTGTAGGGCTGAAAGGGACCTTGGAGATCTTCTAGTCCAACCCCCCCCCCCCCCATTGAAGCAGGGGAGCCTTATAACCATTCCAGACAAATGGCTGTCCAATCTCTTGTGGAAAACCTGGGGCTTTTTAAAAAGGCCAACCGCAGCATAAAATAGAAATCCTCCTCAGAGCACAGCCCATCCAGTCAGCAAGATTTCGCTTCCTGCCGAGCAGGTCGGATGGCCGGGGCGTGAAGGAGGGCTGGGCAGCCATTCTCTTTCACGCGGGTGCTGGGGAAGGAATGCCAAGCAGGTGTGTCTGCCAGGCGAGCTTCCCTCCTGGCGGATGAGCCAAGATAAGAATCTGTGGCCACGGGAGCTGGGAGGGGCCTGCTGTGTTCAGGGACTGGCATCCCCTTTGGATGGCCAAAGTCCTCCAGGGGATTCCTTAAACGAGGAAAACACAGGTACAAAACTATTAAAACTGCAAAGCACAAAAAAGGGGAAAACATTTTCAACCCACAAGGAAGCCGCCCAGAGTTTCCGGACAGCAAGGCGGGTGGCATATAAATGAGTAAAAAAAATACAAGGCAGTTCTGGATTTACGATGATTTGTTGAGCGAAGTTACAACGGCGCTGGGAAAAAAGTCAGACCTACGACTGTTGCAAGCATCCCCAGGGTGTGTATGTGTGTGTGTCAAATTCAGCCGCTTGGCAACTGACTCGTACTTATGACGATTGCAACATCCTGATCATGTGATCCCCTTTTGTGACCTTTTGACCAGCATGTGGGGAAGCTGGATTCCCTCCACTACCGTGTTACTCACTTAACAATGGCGGTGGTTCACTTAACAGCAGTGGCAACAAAGGTTGTAAAATGGAGCAAAACTCACATCATAGTTGTCTCGCTCAGCAACAAAGATTTTGGTTCAATTGCAGTCATAAATTGAGGAAACCCTCCTGCAATACATAAAGGAACAGCTTGGTTGCAATAAGCAACTGCAGTATAACTGCTGGGAGCTTGTCTGGATGGGCTCAAGAGGGCTGGGGAGCACGTTTCTTTTGAAAAAATAATATACATACAGGTGGTCTTCGCTTTATGACCACAATTAGGCTCTGACTTTTCCCTTGCAACACAAAGGAAAGTCGTTTAAGCGAGCCTCTCCCAATTTTTTTTTCGCCCTGGTGGTTAAGCAAATTGCCACAAGTTCTTAAGTGAGTCTCCACTGTTAAGCGAATTCTACTTCTCCCACGGGTTTGGCTTGCCGGAAACTGGATGGGAAGGTCACAATCGGTAACCCCCGGATGCTACAACTGTCGTGAGTTACACATCAGTTGCCAAGCCCCTGGATTTTGTCCACGTCAACTCTCCTGTAAGTTACAAGGATCGAGGTTGCAAGTCGACTTCTCCAGGGTTGTCCTAACTTGGAACAGTCACTAAACGAAATTGTTGTAAAGGGAGCACAGGAAAAGATGTCTGAAACGAGCAGTGTCATGCCCCTGGTGGAGACTGACTCTGAGGGAGAGGAGGAACAGCCGACAGGGAATGGAAGTGTGACTCCGGAGGTTGTGGAGGAGGCTGGGGAAGGGCAGAGGCCGGCTCACCAGTCAGAGGAAGATCCAGGCACATCCCCTCTCCATCCTAGGGCATGCAGGGAGGAGAGGATAAGGGAGAGACGTGAATGGCGTGGTCTATGTAGGAGGAAAGGGCCCTGATCCCCTTCATGGGTTGCAGCTGTGAGGACTGTTTAAAAAGACTGACATGCATATGAGCCAGTGCTGGAAACAAAGCATGGAAATATCTCTAGTCTGTTGGTTCCTCTCTGAGTTTGGCGTCCTTCCCAGTGTGTGATCCGATATCTGTGTAGGTCTTCAAGCCCTTATCTTGCCTGGTTCCCTTGATTGCTTCAGTGTGGTTTGTGTTATTTTTACTCTTTATAATGTATAGGCATTTTTAGTTTAACTGGCATATCCTCCTTCTTGTAACTGCTTGTGGGGGAGTTTTTTGTCTCCAGTCAAGGATATTTGGAGCCTTGAAGCAAACTGAAGGAATAAAAGGGGCTTCACCTGTTTTTGTGACTGTGTTTATTTTGTATCCCACCCTGGGTCATCACAAGCAGGCCCTGTGGGAGGAAAACCCCTCTTGTTGGGGTTCCCTACAACCCACATCGATCCTTCAGGCTTCAGGTATTCCATCTTTAGGGCCTGGGGTCCTCAAAGCGCCCCCCCCCCCCCGAGTCCCCCAGCCTCAGAGTTGCCACCTCAAGGAATTGTGATGACTTGACATGGCCGCTAAGCACTCTGGCGCGCGCACACACATACACACACACACACTTGTGAAGGCTTTTCCCTTTATAAACGAAACCTCACGCCACCCCCCTTTGAGAAACACCTGTTCAAACTTGCTAAACAGGTTAATAATATTTCTTCCCTGGCTGGCTTCCCCCTCCCTCCAGTCCTATGTGTGAGGAACAGGTTGTCGAGTTTCAAAACACAAGCACAAGCGCCTCAGCGGAGTTCACCACAACTTTCATGCGGGATCTGGAAGGAGAGAAACCCACTGCTCGCCCCCCCATCCAACCACCCCAACCTGGATGCCCACCAAAGACGCCTGTGGACCCCGGCTTTCCTCCAGGCAGTCGGTGACAACACTATGGGACTCCGCGCTTCTCTCCTGCGGGCGTGAGCGGGTGTATGTGTGTGTGTGGCACACACAAGTGGAGAGTGTGGCCAATTCCTTCGCTCGGGTTTGCCGGTGAGAAGCCAAGGACGGATTGTTAGAGCTTGTCAAGACTTTCGGGGGGGACTGAGGGCAAGTGTGCAAGGCACGTTTTGTGGCCCCTGGCACCAACACCAACAATCCCCCTCTCCTTGGCACACCATGTTGTGGAACCTCTGCCTGTTGGTCCTGCCAATCTCTGGTAAGTCATCGGTTTATCTTCTTCCCTTCATTTTCTCCCGTGCCGAGAGTTGTCATCCTGAGCTCTGCTTTCTGCATGGAGAAAGCATCTTAACACTTTCCAGCCAAAATCAAATTTGACATTGACCCAACAGGTGATTGACAGTTTTGCAAATCTTTGTCTTTGCTTCGGGGAGCTCTTTTTGGGTGGGGCCAGGTCCACCTCCCACCCCATTCCTTTTGCTCCCTTGATTTTTTTTTTTTTTGCACCGATAGTGCAAGTGTGTAAGCAGGCACCTGATTCGGAGACTGGGTTCCAAGCTGATCTTTCGAGACTGGCTTGTTTATTGCATCACTGGCGATCTTCTTCTCTAAAGGTCGTCCTCAATTTACAACGCTTAGTGACCATTCAAAGTTTACACGTATGACTGCTTTTCATCCTTATGGCCGTTGCAGTGTGCCCATGACTCACGTGAGCAAACCCCCCCCCCAAATTAGATGTGTAGCAACTGACTCATACTTATGACGGTTGCCATGTTCACTTTTTGTGACCTTCTGACGAACATAGTCCATGGGGGAGCCAAATTTGCTGAACAACCAGGTTGCTCTCTGGGCAGCGATTCACTTAACGGCGGTGGAACAAAAGTTCATAAAATGGGACAAAATTAACCAAACAAACGTTTCCCTTGGCAACAAAATTTTTGGGCTCGATTGCAGTCGTAAGCTGAGTACTACCTGTAGTGTGTTTTATCGGTTTTATCGATGGGTTCGATTTGTTGCAAAGGTTGGGGATAGAATTCATATTTTTTTTAGGGATGTTGACATGCAGGATGGAGGGGAAGGAATCTCCGAAAACGTCTGAAGGAACAAGCCAATATGCATGTTAGTTTTCCCAGCTGGGATTAGGAAGTAACTTCCTCGGGCACCGTGGGCTTGGAGACAGGAACTAGAAGCAGCAATTGCTTTAAAATCCTCCAACCTGTGAATTAATTGTCCCAAATGAATTGTCAGGGAAAACGGAGCTGGTTTGGCTTTGCAAGCAAGGGGGAAAAATGAAATAGTCATAATCATAAAGTTGGCAGCTATCCGTTAGGTGGAGCGAGGGTAAGGCTGGGTTGCCAAGCTGGCAGCGTCATACTTCCTTTGAAAGGAGAGCAAAACACAATGCGGGGATTTCTTAATCTCTTCATAAAGATCTTTTCAGATGGCGAATGAGAATTACTTTCTTGAAAAAACAAACCAAAATCGTGTAAATCCCCATTGGGGTGGAAGCCCTACCAAAGCCTAAAATTGGACGCTTTTTCGGAGAAAGAGGCTTGGTTTTCAACTTCTCTTATTGTCTCTTCGTGAAAAAGGCAAATTTGGGTGAAAATGCCCCGTGTTTTTTTTCTTGCCTTCTAGATCGGTTGCTTGTCTCTACGTGAAAGGGACCGGGAAGAGGAGGCGTGGGGAGGAGGCTTGGTTGGGAAAAGCCAACCTGAATAACTTAGAGCCATGTTTTCCAACTTTGGAGACTTGGAGATGGGTGGACTTCAATTCCCAGAATTCCCCAGCCACAAACATACCAAGCAGGAACTTTATATGGGCTTCAATCAAGCCATGTTGGAGCCTTTTATGGCAGTATTTCAAAACCTCTGCACTTGCAAATGGGTGGACTTCAATTCCCAAAATTAAAGCATGCCAGCTGGGGAATTCTGGGAGTGAAGTCCACCCCTCTTCAAGTGCCTGAGGTTGAGAAATCCTGCTTTATCCTGACCAATTGATGCAAAGCCTTCATGTCCTCAAGGCAGAGCTGGCTTGCCATCAGGTACAGCCAGCAAACAGTGTCCCTGCCCATGTGCAGAGTTCCCCGCTGCATGGGACAAGTTGGTGGAGGCTCTCTCTCTTTCCGTGAAGTTTCCCCATTGGGAGGAATGTTTTGCCAGATGAGGAGGAAATGCTGTGCGAGGGGAACGGGCGACTCCACGTCTTTCCCACTCCAGCAAATGGGGGGACCCTCAGCCTCCCCCGCCTCAAAGATAAAGGGGCCGCCTCCACCCAATGGAGTTGCCATTGTGTTTGCGTGGCCCACGGAGCCGGGGCTGAGCCCAGTGGACAGGATGACTCAGCCTGTGGGGGGAATGAAGATCCCGAAAAACTGGTTTGGAGAGATAACCGCGGATAAGGCTGCCGTGACAGCCGATGTTGTGTGGGTTCTCTGTGGAGTCTCTACCTGTTGGGCTGCGTGGCCTCTCCCCTCCCTCTCCTCCCCTCCCTGGCACCAGCCACTCTGCAGTGACTCGGCAGGTTTCCTGCATGGGAGCTGCTGACTCAGCCTTCCTGCTGGGTGCCCGCGGGCCTTGGCACCCCCGAGTCACCCTGCCAGCCTGGGAAAAGGGGCAGGCCGGCAGGGCTTGGCTGGCGGGGAGAGGGATCATCAGAATGGCCAACCCCCTGGCTTGGACAAGGACAAGGGCCCTGCCCTCCCAACCGCCTGTTTTAAAAGGCTCTGAGTTGAGAGTGGCCTGCAGAGCCCGGTGGGAAAAGTCAAGATGGAGGTGTGTAAGATGGAGGTGTGTGCAGTTGAAAAACATCATGTTGAAACACACACACACACACATTGGTCCTTGGAGCCCACTGTTTTGCAGTGGCGATTGGGATTTGGCAATGGGATGAAAGTACAACCAAGGGAAAAGAAAAAGGGGAAAGAAAGGAAAGAAAAAAGAAGAGGGGAAGGGAGGAGGGAGGGAGAGGAAAG